ATATAATCAGACTTTCGTATTCCGCAAGAAAATCTGACGCACGAATTCTGAATACGCCGTAATTTGCTTTGTTCACTATATGGTAGAGTGGGGCCATATGTAGTGTCACAATAACATTTTTCTTCTTAATTCTGTGCATTTTACGTTTTTAAAAACAAAGGACAACCGTGGGCATGTCTGCGATAAAGCAACAGAAGCAGAAAGAGAAGGATTGGTAACCCGAGCGACGTACGTTCTTGTTTATTGGCTTCATCAGGTAAAATGGATGTTCATCGAGAATACCGAAGTGACTTCGACGAATAATAAGATACTGGAGTATGCAAAAGTTGAATCGATACTATATACGTTGAAAATTCAAAGTCCACTTCTCCAGAATTGTGAGGGAACTATAAAGTCAATCTGATTGACGCCATTTTTTTAACGGATCATGATGTTACACTCTTCATAGATTGAAGTTATCATCTTTCATATGTTGGTCTTTCTGTAGACTTTAGTTCTAATTTGTTTATTGATTTAGAACCAATACACTGCCTGTATTATCTATTAATTAACTGTCAAGAAAAAAGAAGGAATTCATACAAAAAAAACTATAGCCGTTACGCGATAGGAATCAGATAAAAGTGTCACTCATCCATCAGTTGAGAAACTCCTAAGATTGCTTCTGGTGGAACTAAAAACATCGATATCACTACACAAATATTAGACATAACAAAATGGAGAAAATAAAACAATGAATTAATTTTTTGCCAAGCCACCTATTTCTATCATAATTGCGAAAAGCTACCTTGTATTTCTGAATGCATTTTATATCTGAACTTTTTAAAGGCTTACGAACGGTGGATAAATGTTGACTGACAGCCTTCCTCCAGTATAGAAATTAAAAATTCATAATTCCGACAGTGCAATTAAAAAGTCGTGTAATCGTTTATTAAAGCTGCTTTCGTGATAACCATGTACTAGGTAGTCGTGGAAAGTGAAACAAGGGCATTATACGAAACTGTGAAACAACTGAACGTTATTGTTTCTTTTTGTACAAAATTTCAATCCAGGGCACAATATAAAAAACTTTGTGTCAGGTACGTTAGATATTTCGATTGGAGTTCCCCAGGGTTACATTCTTGGACCAATTTTTTCCTCTTATATGTTAATCAATCTGATAATATTCATCCAGACACTCATCGATCATCATAGGAAATTAAAAACCATCTTAATAACTGAACAACTGATACACGTTTATTTTGCTGATGTGTATTCGAGGTTAAAGTATGGGGTGATTCTGGCGTTGCTGAACGCGCTCTGAAGATATATATATATATATATATATATAGGTGAAAAATTAAAGCTTCCTCCTTTTGTTGGGTACTTCGACAAAATTTAAGCAAAGAGGAGTCTTTATACTTTTTTAATTCTCTCTAGCTTTCAATGGACTTTGCCATCATCATCAGGAGCTGCAATTACAATGATAACAGTAGCAAAAATAGTGTAAAATGAATTTAAATTGACTTAATTTACAGTAGTATGTGAGGATGTTGCTAATTGTTGTATACGTATAGGATGACGGAAACGTCCAGTAACATGGTGAAAGCTGGATAGATGGTACAATGGTCAAAATTATATAAAATATGACAAGGACAAGTTAAAAACAGATTAAATTTTTTTTAAAAAACATGAAAGCATTACATCGTGAAGCCACTTGATGATTGCACAAAATGGTGGTCATGGAATAATGAGTGAGATGAACCCTTTGACAGAAGGCCGAAGGTTGTCAATGTCTGTGTAGAAAGATGGAACGAATTGTGGGCATGTGACCAACGTTACGAAATCACTTCAGATAGAGAACTTACATATCTCCCCAAATTTTGACTCTTCACAACCATAAATGGAATCTGTTTCTTGGTCGATTCCACCAATAAACTTCATTCCACTCAAATTCTAATAATTTCTTTTCACGATTTAATAATAGTTAATTTAATTTCCCATTAATTAAAATATAGTTAATTCAACTGCCTCTGGTCGGTTTAACAATTTCTTACATAACATTCTGAAAATCACATCATCTGAAGTGATTTGGCAACGTTGGCCACACGCCCACAATTCGTTCCATCTTTCTACACAGACATTGACAACCTTCGGCCTTCTGTCAAAGGGTTCATCTCACTCATTATTCCATGACCACCATTTTGTGCAATCATCAAGTAAGTGGCTTCACGATGTAATGCTTTCATGTTTTTTAAAAAAAAAATTAATCTGTTTTTAACTTGGTCTTGTCATATTTTACATAATTTTGACCATTGTACCATCTGTCCAGCTTTCACCATGTTACTGGACGTTTCCCTCATCCTATACGTAAACAACAATTAGCTACATCCTCACATACTACTGTAAGTTAAGTCAATTTAAATTCATTTTACACAATTGTTGCTACTGTTATCATTGTAATTGCAGCTCCTGATGATAATGGCAAAGTCCATTGAAAGCTAGGGAGAATTAAAAAAGTATAAAGAGTCCTCTTTGCTTAAATTTTGTCGAAGTACCCAACAAAAAGCGGAAGCTTTAATTTTCCACCTAACTGGTCTGAGCTTTCGAAGATCTATGTCTTCATCGTCGGGAGTTGGAAACAATTATTGGCAATAGCAACAATTAACAATTTGGAGGAAAAATAGTTACTTACTAAGTCGGTGAGATTGTTGCTGAAATTGTTTTTGAACAACAGTGAAGGGAACGCATAATCGACGAATAAAAAACTGGACTGATGAGGTTCGATTAGGACGGAATTATTTTATTATTAAATGGTAAATCATAGCTATGTTTTTTATTTTTGAATAGGTTTTTTACTTAAGCGTTGATTGATTGTGGAAGAAATTAAAAAATTCGAAAACTACCAACTATTATAATGACATTATTGACAAGTCTTATCATTCCGTGCCTAATAACATAGTGCTTATGGTATTACCAACTGCTGCATATTTGAGGTTCAGTGGAACCGAGCTTGACTGACAGATGAACAACGCGCATGCATTTGAACTAAGTTCATATTTTAACTGGAGTTCAGGTGATCTACAGTTTAACCGAAAGTTGAACAACCGGCCCTTAGATATATAAATTATCAAGATATCTGTCGTAAGTGACGAATTCTCCTCTTCATCCCAGAATATCAACGCGAGTGTTTTCCAGGGATCGGTCTTGAAATTCGTTACATATCAACGGCCTCCTTTCTTGTACGATCTATCCGTCACAGCTTTGCGCTCCGCATGCAAGAGTTGAGAGTGACCAGCCGATCTCTGCCGGTGAGCTGGAGAAAAGGAGACTAGCAGAGACTTTCCCTCAGAGAAACCTGGATGTTATCAATGCTTAGGGACGCAACAATATGACAGAGTTTAGTGATTTCAAAACATAGTACTATAGCTTGGCTAACAGGGCCTCCATCCTAACCGTGTCGAACTTCGAACAACTAGAACTGGCCGATACAATCGCTCATTTGCCCCCAGGATATTGCGATTGTTGAACAATCTATCTGAGGAGGCTTTTCCCAGTTATATGGGGTTGTCCAAAACGGACGCAGGAAAGTAAACGCATATTAAAACAAGAAAGATTGATATTCAAATCAAGTTGGGTACTTTATTTTGAAGGTTCATTTATACCATTTATGGTCGAAATTTTCAATGACATTTTGCAACATGGTCGGTTCTATGGCATTTATCTCGGCAATGATGTTGTTTTTGAGTTCTTGGAGGGTGGCTGGTTTGTTGACGTAGACTTTACTTTTCAAATATCCCCATAAAAAGAAGTCCAAGGGAGTCAAATCGCACGATCTTGGTGGCCATGGCACATTTCCTCTGCGCGAAATCACGCGATCACCGAAGAAGGGCTGCAATCGATGGATATTGACGTTGGTTGTGTGGCATGTTGCACCGTCTTGTTGCAAATAAACATCATCCATATCCATTCCTTCAAGTTGCGGCAAAAAATAGTCCTCTATCATCACGTGATATCGCTCAGAATTGACGGTAACGGCGTCCCCGGCCGCATTTTCGAAAAAGTAAGGTCCGATGATGCCTTTTGACCACAATGCACACCACACAGTCACTTTTTGAGGATGCATCGGCTGCTCTTGATACTCACAGGGATTTACGTTCGCCCAGATGCGGCAGTTTTGCTTGTTTACCGTCCCATTCAAAGTGAAATGCGCTTCGTCGCTGAACATGATTTTTGATGAAAAATTGGCATCAATTTGGCGGTGTTCAAGGAGCCAATCTGAGAACGTTCGGCGCGAAAAATGGTCGGCCCGACGCAGCTCTTGCGTCAATTGGATCTTATAGGCGTGTACATTCAAATCCTTGTGGAGAATGCGGAGCAAACTGGTTCTCGAAATGCCCAAATCTTGGGATCGACGCGTTGTTGATTGTTTCGGATCGTCTCTCACACTCTCCTTCACAACAGCAATATTTTCCGGTGTGCGAACGCTCCTTGGCCGGCCAGAGCCTGGCAGATTTGCCACAGAGCCTGTTGCCTCGAATTTACGCACCAGACGACCGATGGTTGTTTCGTTTGGGCGGTTGTTGCGACCGAAATGTTCACGAAGCGCGCGAAACGTGTTTTTTATTTTTGCACCATTTTTGTAGAGCTCTTGAATAACTTTAATGCGGAATGCGGTCTTCAATCGAATACGACTCCATAGCGATCAATGGTAAACATTCAACTAACAAAATGACATGTCGGTGACAGAAAACAAAAATGGCGTCTATGTCAAATTGACGGTTACTTTCCTGCGTCCCTATTGGACAACCCTTTACTAACCTTGGCAGCTCAAAAACGGTTTAATAAGGTTTCTATAAGCTCCTGATAGCAGCAGCGGCGTACTAGTATTTGGGGTTCTGCCTACGCCGCTGCTCCGGTATAAAGTAATTAGCTTCTGTCGTATTTGAAGATTTTCAGGCACTTTTCTGCTATATACGGGATAACCATTTGATGATTAGGTGTGGGTGAATAATAACTCCATATTTTATTCATAAATAAACTTTATTTGTACTTCACTGCTGGGGCATAACTTTGTGTAACAAAAAACAATGCAAAAGAGAACTAGTTACCGATATCAGCTAGTTTATGTACAATACCTAAAAATAAAAACGTATCTAGTTTCAACACACTGAGACGAAGAACCATTACTAAGGTCAGCTATTGTAATATTTTCCGAACTAATTCTTCATGACTGTTGAAGTTTTGTGATGCTGTCAACCAGTATTTTTACAATCTGGCAATTCTAAAAGTTCCGTTATTTGGTATGCAGAGTGTTTCCAAAGACTATTGCTGATCACAAAAGATGTAGATGAAATGTACAATTGCACACTTTGTCTGAAATCGTAGTTGAATATCAGTTTTTTTTAATAAATCCTGTGTTATTTGAATAAGTGCGGAACTCGATATTGGAAACATTCTGCATACGGGAATGAGAGATCAAGATTTCAATGAAAGCATTCATTTCAACATCATAAACTGTTGGATACAAGATCAAAATAAAATAATTTCATTTAACTATAGGTTATGCATATACTGATAGATAATCACAAGTAATACTGATCCTTTGCCATTACTATTACTATTACGTAATTCGGATAAACTGACGTAGAAGAAGTGAATTTGAGCTGTCTCTTTACAGTGTCGCAGTAAGTCTACCGTATGCCATTATCAATGTGTAGAGGCAACATCAGAACGCTGCGTTGACTCATCCCGGACCTCTGTGTGAATGCTTGGCTTATTTTTGCTTCACCTAATGCAAATGGTTTGATCAGCAGTTATCACAGTAACACCACCTATTTTCTTAACTTTATTCAATATTGAAATTAGTCACTATAAACTTGGGGTTTCAGCACAATTGTCCTGCAGTCTGTAACTCAACCAAAACAATTCAAACACATATGTATCTAACCTATAATACGCATTTACACTATTTTCCACAGAATGTGACAACATAACAGTTGATCATTAAGTGACATTATCGTCAAGCGAGAGATGAACGCCGAGCGATGTCGTAGGAAAATTTCGGTATATCAGAACGAACCAATCGATTTCGCTGATAATGATCAGGACTGCATTCCAAGTCTACTAAGAATTTAATCGGAATAAATTCTTGGTGAAAATGATTTTGATACGCTATACTGAATGTCATAAGCTTCGATATTGCCAACAAAACAAAATTAATACAAGAGAACAATAAAACAGACGTCTGAATGTGCTGAAGTATCGCGAAAAATAGTTTAGATGCAACAGGGTGTCCGCAAACTTGGGGTTTTCCTTTACACGACGTGTAGGTCTTGAAAACATAAGCAATTTTTCTTAGTACCATATACACCAATGTCTTAAGGGAACCGAGATAAAGGGCTCTGCAACATCAAAAATATCTGAATACCGTCCTGTAGCCGCGACCCGCCGGGATATCCCAGACTGGTACAAGGTCTCAACCCGACGGCAGAACTGGGTCGGGGTCAGTGTGTCAGGTCAGTATGCAACCTTCAACCGACGGTTACGGTCACGCGTGTAGAGGTAAATGAACCCATATAATCGATTGCGTTTCAAAAAACAACAAGCACTAGAGACGTGGCTAGAGAAGTGCAAGTATCAAAAACTGAAGTGTGGTAAACGCTGCGTGAAGAGGGGCTGTAGCCGTTTCATGTCCAACGTGTACAAGCCCTTCAACCTGACGATTTTCCAGCGGTTTTGTGAGTGGTTGTTGCATCAACATGACAATAATCCGGACTTTTTGAAGTGCATATTGGTGACAGACGAATCTACGTTCACGCGTAATGGGGTGAATAACTTTCGCAACACTCATGTTTGGTCATTTTCAACAAACATTTTCGGTGAATGTTTGGCTGGCATGGTGAACTGTATGCTCATTGGACCATTTATTCTCCCAAATCGATTGGACGGGATGCAATACCTAGACTTTTTACGCAACATTTTGCCTTCCTTGTTAGAAGATGTGCCATTAAGTGTAAGACAATCAATGTGGTTTCTGCGTCTGCTCGGTAGCGCATCAGTTGATTTCATTTTCTGTTGGAGCGGTATGATTTCGGGCAGAGACGTACTTAGCCCTTCTCGTCAACTGGAGAGTGAGTACTTTTTCCTTTATTTTTTTTTTACTTGGTCGCCCTGGTTTCACTACACATTACCTTTGTTATTTCAAGGGTAGTTGTTTCTGAAAAGGAAAACCCCAACTTTGCGGACACCCTGTAGATACCTGAAACACATGTATATGGTTGAACTGTCTTATAAAGGTGGTGTTATCACAAACTGAAAGTCTCTTTAATGTGATTTCTTTTTGTACGGATTAAATCTAGGTTTTACGCACATCTACTTTTACGTGTAATATTCTGATTCTTAAGTCCTGATATGAATTTTGTACAATGACACTGATAACTATGCCATCTATTCCAAAATATGTTGTAATACAAGCATGGGGTTAAGCAGAATTTATTTCTCATTTATTTAAAATACCTATAGCTATTCTAGACTTGATCGTATAGGAACTGATAATACTCGAGGCAAGGTAATGAACGCTGCAAAAAATATTTCGAAAAATGTTTTTTTCTCTGGATCTCTACTCTTCTATAGAGTTGTGTGGTTGAAGTCAAAATTTTGCAAACTGTGGCTCTGAGACGCCCGCTAGCATGTTGCGTGTTGAAAATTAATCGAGTATGTTTAACTGAGGTCTTGTAGCGTAAGCCTCAAATTGAGACAAGTCAATGCTGAGCATTTTCCACATTATCAGCCTCTAACTGCTCAATCTACTACTGGCCGATACTCCATTCCAATGGACCTGGAAAATAATGAAATTATTAGTTTCACATAATATATATCGAAATAGTTTAGATACGACTCCGCAACTTGAAAATATTTGGGACTCGAAAATTTTGAAAGTCCTTAAGATCGAAATAATTCCCTCAAACAAACTGAAAAATACTTGCGCATCTCAAACGTGAATAATAAGGATTCCGCAAATCCAAATCGACGGCACTTGAATAATGTTTCGCAAACTTATTCCTAAATTACGTAACGCATTTATTGATCAATTATATTATGTTCAATTTTTTAGTTCCACGCCTACTAGCTACTGATGTACATTCCGAATCATGTCATGGTTAAATGGCAAAAAACGGTCTATGCGCTTTGCTGTCCCAATGGTCTGGAGAGAGCCTACAAATCATATTAATGATTGTTACTTTTGCATGGTACCTTGTGTTGGACAAGCCACAGGTATGTCCAAGAAAAAAAAAATCGGTTATTAACTACCCAAACATACCATCTGCTATGAGATCTGTGCCTCACAGTGACGAAAATCCTATTCCAAAACCCCCAGAATCCTACACTTGCGAATCAGAAAACGAATCAGATCATGGCGATCGAGTGATTCGTCAGAAAGAAGATATGCCATCAACGTCAAGAGATCCTGATTTTATACCGAGCACGTCATGCCACCAACCGCACAAAATAACACAGTCAGAATTAAATGATCTTGTAAGAGATTTAGAACTTCCAAAATGTAAGGCAAGACTGCAGCAGTGGAACTTGTTAGAAGACGATGTTTCGGTATGTGTTTTTCGTGAACGCCACAAAGACTTAGAACCATTTTTCAATATGGAGAATAACTTGGTTTTCTGCAGTAACATTAACGGCTTACTGGCGGCTTTAAATATAAACTATAACCCAGAAGAATGGAGATTGTTTATAGACAGTTCAACATTGAGTTTAAAGGCAGTGTTATTGCATATTAGAAATATTTTACCATCTCTTCCTGTAGGGTATGCAGTTCACATGAAAGAATCATGACAGTATGAAGTACCTATTAACATGCATAAAATACGATGAGCACCAATGGCATATTTGTGGCGATTTGAAAGTTGTTGCACTTTTACTTGGGCTGCAGCTAGGCTACACAAAGTTTTGCTGTTTTTTGTGTGAATGGGACAGTCGGGCAAAGTCACTTCATTACACCAGACAAAACTGGCCTGTTCGTCAATTCCTAGAGCCAGGTCAAAAAATGTACAGCATACGCCATTAGTAGATTCGAAAAAAAATTTATTACCACCACTGCATATCAAGTTGGGCCTAATGATAAACTTTGTCAAGGCACTAGATAGAGATGGGTCAGCTTTTCAATACCTGCGTCAGAAATTTCCAAGACTAAGTGAAGCAAAGGTTATAGAAGGTATTTTTGTTGGGCCACAGATCCGAAATATTTTGAAAGATACACAGTTTGAAAACACTTTAACAGGTATTGAAAAAACTGCTTGAAATGATTTCCGTCTGGTGGTCACTAATTTCTTGGGAAATAGAAAAGCTGACAACTATAAAACCCTTGTCAAAAATATGCTGTCATCGTATCAAAAGATGGGCTGTAATATGTATCTTAAGATACATTTCCTACACTCACACCTGGACTTTTTTCCTGACAATTGCGGAGCCGTAAGTGATGAGCACGGCGAACGTTTTCATCAGGATATTTCAACAATGGAAAAAAGGTACCAGGGAAAGTGGAATCCTTCCGTGCTTGCAGACTACTGTTGGACTCTTGGTAGAGATGCTCCAGAAACGATCCATAAAAGAACAGCAAAAAGACGGCGCATATAGTGATTCTTATAAGTATGAATCTTGTTACTTTTTTTAATATATCCTTAAAAATAAAGTTTTTTTTTCTAAACCGCAACTAATTTTTTTATTTCATTGTCATTTTTGGATTCAGCGCCCCAAAATTAACAAAGAAGTGCACTTTTCCCACAAGATACAATTAAAAAACTAAAATTTGTTGTCCAGTGAAGGTGTGGGGAATCTCATTCCAGGCTACTGCAACTTCGTGAGTAAGAGCTGCTAAAGTCTGTGGAGGTTATTGCAAATGCAAGAGCCTGTGACCTCGCATGTCCCAGACATGTTCAATTGGAGATAGGTCAGGCTAACGATGCTCTACCAAACTGCGGTCTGGTATTGTCGTGCTGAAAAATCGAGTTTTGGATGGTGTTTAGGTGTTTTAACTCCTTGCTCACTGTCCTCGGCCTCCCAGAGTCCACGCTGACACTATAGTATATACTACGTAAGGATCTGTTGGTTCTCCTAGAAATTTCTCTTATCGATAGACCAGCCTCAAGCAACCCGACAATTCGACCCCCTCAAGGTCACATAGCTGGGACACCCGGCGAATTCTACGCACTCTAGGCATTTTGAGCAATCACAAAAAGGCTTCTCAATAAGCCACACGAAATTTAACATTTAACTTACACCGTAATCGATAAATCGATATGTTAAAAATTCTTGAATCCTTAGTGTTTACTTTTTTTTGTCACTAAGTATACCATTGAAGGGGAAAGCAGTCGGTTGGGAAAGAAGATACCTATACATTGTAAAGTCAGTAGTAAACTCACCTGAGGAACACAAATGCTACCAGCAACAACGACGACCCAGACAAATCCCCGAGCGCCGTCAAATACGGTATGGTGGAGTTATCGGGATCGATCTTGAACTTCCACATAGTGTGCGTGACCAGATGACAGGCGTACAGCAGAATGACCAGTTGTATCATGGCGACGGCCAAGTAGGACAATACGAACACAGGGGTGGCCGTGGAACGGTGGTTGTAGATAAAGTCGGCTGCGAAAACGAAGACTGCGTGGCCGGGGATGGAGATCAGCAGTAGGAGGCGAGCAGTCTTGGCTGGAAGAACTGGAACGAAAAAATACTTCTAGATTTGAGCACGTTAGAAAGGGTGTTTCAGTTTATTGTTGCATAACTTTAAGATTCGATAGAACTTTTAAAATTAATGCATAAAGTCTATATAAACATGGGTCGAAAAATGCGTGGCTTCCGAAATACAGGGTGTTTCAATTTACTTTCTAAAATAGTTTTTTTTTAGATATTTCGAACAATATTTGATGTATAACAGTGAAAATTGGTATACAAGTGTTTTTTGGTACGACAAAACGAACCACGGGCATAGTTTTACTGTATCCGCTAGAGGGCGCTCTCTACTGTACCTGTAGTGCATTAAAATGACCAAAAATTTTTTCTTAGTGCAATTTTTTGCTTTTTGAATAAAAAAACTGATCCTTCGCACTTTTCTGCATAAAAAAGCTCTCTTGTGAGTTTTTGTTATAGTTAGCCGTTTTTGAGATATTTCGATTTTTAAGGTTCGATGCATTTTTAATCATTTATGGGAAAATAATATTTTTTTTTACATTTTCGATTTGGGCATTACAAGTAATTAAGATGGTCGTTTATATTGTGTTTTTAAACACAGCAATAATTCCTAACTCCAAATAAACACTAAAAAACAGAATATTAATTTGTTTAATTTTCCAATATTATTTTTAACAAATTAAATTAATTATTTACAACTAAAATGCTATTGGATAGTTAGGAGACACATACAAAATCTAAAGTAGTTGCTCGAAATGTAAACCCAATTGTTCAATACACAACTCACATCTACGAATGATCGAACGTGGTATAGCATTATTCAAATAAGGCCTTGTTTCATCACATGCGTTCCTCATTCTGTCTATTAGCATATCTCTTGTGATTACGGGAGTCTGGTACACTTTTTCTTTTAGAAATCCGCACACAAAGAAATATAATGGTTTTGGGTCAGGGGATCGTGGAGGCCAGGCGACTGGTTCTCCGCGGCCGATTCATCTTTCTGGATAATTTTCGTCCAGCCAGTTTCTAACTATTCTCGAATAATGAGCTGGACAACCATCAAGCTGGAACAAGGCCAAACTTCTTGAATCTAACATGACATCATCCCACATATTTGCATGTTCAGCCAAGAAGGTCGCAGCATTTAACCTTGAAGGCAAAAGGTAGGATCCAAATAGTCGATTACGGTAGATACCAATCCACACGTTCACACTAAATTCAAGCTGAAAATTTCTTTACCGAACTGCATGCGGATTTTCATGCGACCAAATATGTTGATTATGAAAATTTACCACTCCACGTCTAGTGAAGCATGACTCATCGATCCATAAAACGTAACTTAAAAACTCCCTATTATTATCAGTTCTATCAAGAATCCACTGACAAAATGTGATTCTTCGTTCTCCGTCCCTTGGCTGTAGTCCTTGCACAGGTTGCAAATGGTAAGGACGTCTATGGTCATTTCTAAGAACACGGGGAACATGGCTTGCTGAAATTCCCAAGGCACCAGAAACTCTCCTAACACTTGTGGTCGGATCTCTATCAAACTCACGCAGAATCATACGGATAAATCTGCGCTGACGAACATTTATGTTTTGATCCCTTTGGAGATTTCCAAAACCATTTTCAATTATTTGGCGATGCACATTCACAATTGCAAAAAAACGTTTCAGGTTTCAAGAGACAACAAAACTAACTGTCAACTAATTGACGTTTAACCTCATTCTGCTTTCAATTTCAAAAATATTTGCAGGCACAGCCTACTTCTAAAACTTATCGAGATACTGACTTTTTAACGTTATTTTATCATAAATAATTAAAAATGCATCGAACCTTAAAAATCGAAATATCTCAAAAACGGCTAACTATAACGAAAATTCACAAGAGAGCTTTTTTATGTTGAAAAGTGCGAAGAATCAGTTTTTTTATTCAAAAAGCAAAAAATTTTTTTCGGTCATTTTAATACACGACAGGTACAGTAGAGAGCGCCCTCTAGCGGCTACAGTAAAACTATGCCCATGATTCGTTTTGTCGTACCAAAAAACCCTTGTATACTAATTTTCACTGTTATACATCAAATATTGTTCGAAATATTTAAAAAAAACCTATTTTAGAAAGTAAATTTAAACACCCTCTATTTCGGAAGCCACGCATTTTTCGACCCATGTTTATATAAACTTTATGCATTAATTTTAAAAATTCTATCGAATCTTAAAGTTATGCAACAATAAACTGAAACACCCTGTATAATAATATCTAGTATATAATATAGCGCGTTGCTCTGACTGAGATGATTCATCAAGTCTAAACCATGCTGATGAGTATCCCAGAATAACGAAGGACCATAAGGAGTTAAAAGCTGTTTAACTTTATATGTTATGTTTATGTGTTATTTTCTGTTATGTTAAATCGTCTAATTTAAATCAGTGATTGTAACTTCCTAATGTTTGTGCTATGATCCTGCTATATCGAATACAAGCCGGACTGAGAGGTGAGTGACGAATGCGAGGGCCAGCGTTGCCAAATGAGCGAGACAGAATTCTTCCAAAACAAGTGCAAAAATGTCCCAAAATTGCAACTTTCTCAAAAAATGCCTCAAGCCAACTATCTAAAAAGAATTGTTAGTTTGAAAGACACATATTTCCTAACCTAACCTTCGTCACTGGGGACTTGGGTATCGCAGAGTAGTCGTCTAGCTCGTTCTCCCAAAACATTAAAGTTGTAGGGTTGGGTTAGTGTACATGTGTTGTGGAGATAGGTGTAACCATGAGGAGAGAAACAGCGACAGAAAAGTAAAATTTGTATTCAGCAATCGTCAGTTTTACTTGGTGAAAAATGGAACAAACACCTCGAAAATACGCAATGAGTTTATTTTTTCCCACATAAAATCCCTCAAAACATTATATTCCCTAAACGTTACTCAAGAGCAGTAAAAATGGAATGAAAACCCCGAAAATACACAACGCTTTTATTTTTTCCTCATAAAATCCCAAAAGTTTCCCAAGAGAAGTAAAAATCCCCCAATATGGCAACCCTGCCGAGGACCATCGCGTCATCCGGTAGACAGTGCCAGGGCCGATACATACGAGGGCTGTCTTTTAAGTTTTGCATATAGAAACATAAAGTGTATCTAACGAAGCTACAAAGTAATCGTAAACAATGGTTGATTCGTGATCAACGCGTGATCGGTAGCCATGGCGCTCTGTCGGCCTCTTCCTGATTGGCTTGTAGCGACGAGCCTCCAGACAAAGTCGCACGGTTGCCACGCTCGGCGAGTTTTCGCCAGAGTGGTTGATCACATTCGCATGGATCACAAATCAATCTGTTGGTGCAATACGTGCAATAACTGTTGTAAAGGACATTATATAACAATAAATGGCATCACAAAGGTATATTCCAATTTGATCTGCAGCAAATTATGAACGGCATATACGGAGATGCAAAAACTAGCTAAAAAAGGTGAAGAAAATTTTTGTGCAATCTTTATAGTTAAATTTTTCCTAAGAGATAGCATCAGTGAGGGAATTTTTTTCTATTGTCTTATTTTTCACATTAATGCGATGTCGAGGTATGTGGCCCTATCGCAATTGAAAATAAAGTTTCGATAATCCTTCCATAAAGTTTCGATGAGTACATCTGAAATAACCTTAAGATATTCTTCAGGGAAATACAAAAATCTCCTTTTGTGTTTTTTTGTGCAGATTTATCTATTTTCCGTGCACACACCTTCAACCGAATGTATGCCATATATGATATTACCGTTTCCAACTTTCACCAAGGTTAATAGGAACCATAACAGCTCCCTACCCTTCCCCCCTATAAGAATATCGATTTGTAGCCTCACATTTCAAGGTTAGACTTCTTGTAATGTTTCTGTTCAACATTCGGGGATTTCTTACAATTTTCCCAATAAAACATGATCATTGTGACATTAAGCCTGGCAACGCTGCATAGTAGAGGGAACTCTCAGCGTCACGTTGATGGTTCGTCACCACGCACAGGATTGTAATCAGTTACGGATACCCGTTCATGAGCGCGAACGTTTTATGCACGTCTTGACTTGATTTTTCTTGCGGAAATTTAATATTAGTCTAAAATGTTTGACACAGATACAGCTGATGAAGTGGTTGAAATCAGCTTAACGCCACCCAGCAAAAGGGCTAAAAAGCTTCATCTTAGCGCAGGTGAAAAACAAATTATTCTAAATATCTACAAGAACCAGATGCAAGAGAATAGTGGATTGGCTATAGAAAATATCGTATGTAAGGTTGCTGAAATTTCTGGAGCAGGTCGATCAAGTGTTTACAAAATCTTGAAGGAATATAGACAAAATCACTCACTATCTGAGCCAAAAACATATCCAGCGAGAAAAAAAATCATCGAAAAAATAGATGACTTTGACAAAAGTGCCATTAGAAGAAAAGTACATCACTTTTTCTTCAGGAATGAAATACCTACAATAGATAAAATATTGAATCAAGTGAATGATGATGAGGACCTGCCAAATTTTAAAAGATCTACGTTCCATAAGCTGTTGAAAGAACTAGACTTTCGATTTTTGAAAAGAGGAAGGAATAGTTTATTGATAGAAAAGGAGGAAATTGTTATCTGGAGGAGAGAATACCTTAGAAAAATTAGGCAATTCCGCGCTGAAGGAAGAAAAATTTATTATTTAGACGAAACATGGGTGAACGCGGGGCATACGCAGGGAAAGGTTTGGGTAGACAGATCTGTGAGGTCCTCAAGGCAGGCTTTTTTAGATGGCCTTTCGACGGGATTGAAAAATCCTGCAGGTAAGTTTCGAAGTATATGAACTTTTTTGGATGCAGATAATTCATTTTCTGATCGAATGAATGATTTGGAAGCTCCGAACTCAGTTTTGCTATCTCATCCAAGTTTCTGAGTATTTCCTTCACCCGAAAACTAATCTAAGACCCTATCCTACACTAACCTAAAAAGGGTAAGTTGCTTAATTTCGTCATTTAGTGCGCTCGCTGAGAAGTAAAATAACTAATTACTTTCAGGCA